CCCGCTCAAGACGAAGTCCTGGCATCACCTGCGAGACTTTTCAAACCTGATGGTGTGGTTCGCATGAGAACAGCCTTAAACAAAGAGCTGAGCGCTCACACATCAGAGCACATCTTCAACGGGACTCCAAAAATGCAAAGCCGACGTAGGCAGAAGATTTTATCCCTTGCGGAGAGCTCAAGCAATGTCGAAGCTTCTCTTGATGGAGGTGCTGCATGGTGCTGCACGCCCTGTCTTGCGCCATTGACCACGGCTCTGCTATGCCGATCAAGCGTTTGGCGCCATGACTCTGGATCCAGGTGCGCCCCTTCCTCCAGGCAGCACGGCAAACAGACGCCTCGTGGCGAGTGGTGCGCGCTGTGCCGTCTGGAAGCGGCCTGACTGTTTGGCACCCGAAGAGAAAGCTCTGGGAACATACTTGGACCTCGACCAAGACCCACCTGCAGACCTCCTACTCACAGACGATGTGCGTGAGGTTGCTGAGCATGCTGAGCTCTCCAGTCCCGGACGCCCGATAGCGACAGTGTCCTGGTCCAGGCTTGACCAAAGGTCGCCTGAGCAAGCCCCTGCAGCCCCAGCAGCCGCTGCATCCGGCTTAGTTTCAGGACATTTTCCAACCTCTGATGTTAGCAGATCTATGAGATTACTTGGAGAGATTTTGCCACATGTGCAGGAGACCGGTGCGTTAGGTGCCCTCCGATGCTCGAAGCTGCGCCCAAAGACAGGCAGGGACAGCAGGGATCCCGGTTCTTCAAGGTTGAAGGATAATCAACAGCTGAGTCCTGTTTTCTTTTGTATTTCTCAGGTCCGAAGCCAGCGAACCTGAGGAGGACAGCCTGGAAGTCTTGCTGAGCTGGTCATGCCGAGTTGCTATCATTTCTTTTTCAAGTCCTGCTTTTGGATTCCACGTAGTAAGTCGGTCAGACATGCGGGGTTTGCATTGTCGTGAGTTTTCTTGTCGAACAAAAGTTCGTTCTGAACTTAGGACTCATCTTCTGCTCTTTGCCGCTGTTTGGCTTCCATCATTGCACTCAGCTTGAGGTTCACTACCATCATAGTACAACGCAGCGTAGTAACTGGTAAGAGTGCTCTTTGTTGTTCAAAGAATTTTCCTCTCCAAAAGTGCCACGCCAACGTGGCTCATGATGACTGAACAACAGATGATGATATTCAGACACATTTATACGGCTCTTGGATGACTCAACAGACTTGCAGATAGAGGCACCCTGAGCAAGCTCAAGCACTTTCACACGTTGACACTTGCTCTGCTCAATGTGTTCTTCTTTTTTCAGCTGTAGCAAAATTTTCGAGTATTTTGAAGGTGTTTCTCTTCGTGATGTTGTCATTGCTTGTTCTGCTTTGTTTTGATGTCCTTCCAAACTTCCTGCTTGTCCAAAAAGGCGAGTTACTTTCATGATTTCTCAATTGATGCCACGGCTGCAGTTCGAAAATCCAGAGAATATGTAATGCAGAGTTCTTGACCCCTGCCCCTATCGACTTTGCATGTTGCGAATCTTCCTGCTTACCTTGGCTTACTTTGGCATTGCCAAAAGTGCTTCGCAACGAAGATCACTTCTTGATCTTCTTCTTACATATTCTAGCCTGCTTGTGCTGTGCCCTTGCCCACGGCAACAGCTTGAACACTTCCCAGAATTGTGCCAAGATTTGCCGCAGCTACTCCCGTCGAGTCTGTAGTGTTGCCACTTGCCAAGGCCAAGCCGGAACTTTTCTTGCTTTTGGCAAGACCTCGGTTTATAATGACTTGTTTAGAGCCTCGTAACCTTCGCTACTTTTGAGCAGTGCATGTCGACGTCCATGTACCTGCCGTCTCTTTTTCTGCAACTCTCAGACCTAGGGTTTTGCAGTCCGGCATTGTGAGTGGCTATCCTCGCAAGTGCCCGTGAAAGATTTTACAAGGCCACCGTCCTTTTCTCGCTTGTAGGGACCTTTGAGTCGCCATTCTCGCAACTGGTCTCGCCATTCGTGTTTGGAGGTGAGATGAACACCAAAGACTATCAGACAGAAGCCCGGCCCTTCCCTCACTTGCTCGACATCACAACCTTGCCTATCGGTCGCTTTTTGTTGAAAAGCGGGCATCGCGCAGTTGTTCAATTCAGTGTGGAGATTTCTGAGAGGATGCGGAACAGAAGCGACAGCGAGTTCGCGATGTCATGATGCAGGCCAGGTTGGGAAATCTCAAAAGCCATGCCGGAATCGCACAGTGACACGGTGACAGGTGTTCACTTGGCTTGAGGAGGATTATGGCACCACCTGCGGCCGCAGTCGGAATGCAACATACCGGGACGGCCTCAAGGACCAGAAGAGGATCCAAACGAAGGCCAGGCTGCAGTGTTGTGGTGGCATACGATGCATGATTAGTCTTTGCTTGTGCAGGTGACACTCCATATGCAACCTGGACTTAAAGACTGGCGCCGGCGAAGGGGCAATGCAGTGCCTAGCACTGCACGAGATGCAGTTTTCTCTGTCCTGCAGCACCTCTTCACGGGATATCATTTCGAGCAACGTGAAGTCCGAGTGGAAGTTGCGCGCCCTTTGCAGAGTGCTGCGGGAGGATTCAGGTTTCCAAGGCTGGAGGCATCCATCTATGGACGGTGGTCGCCGATGAGCCATTGCTGTGATACGGCGGTCTTGACATTCTTCGACGTCGTTTGCGGTGTGTGTGTCATTTGCTTGAGGTCAACTTGCAACCTGCAAAGACTCAGCATCATTTCTTCTCATACTTGGTGCAACCAGGGTTTCAAGACCACACGCCTGCCGAATCTTTGAGGCAAAGCTCCCGCTTTGCAGCTGATGCCGCTGGCTGAAGCACTACGTGTGCAGATCTGGGGACATTGGAGCCTCCGCTGCAGTCTGGTTGGACGGGGAGCTGCTTGATTGATAGCAGCTTGGTTGCCAGATCTAAGGATATCCTTAAATGGTGGAGTCCTGCCCAAGCACAGGCAAGTCTTCGGAGTCAGGGAGGGCCGCGTTTGTTGCAATAACAACAGAGCAAGTTAGCGAGGCCACCACGCCCAGCACGGACCAGATTTTTTCCTATGTGGCCGGCAGCTTGTGCGTTACTATCGGAAGTTGTTTGATTTGAACGGTTCTCCCTACAAACCAGGATGTTGGGCGTCTGGTTTGGTCTTCACTAAGGAAGCGGGCTGGATACCTCGTGCAACCATGATGGCCTTGCTGGCTGATGCCAGTCCAATTTGAGAGCATGGAATGAAGCAAAGGGAGGGAGTGGCATAAAAACCGAGTGTGCGAAGAGGTGCCTGAAAGGGATTTTTCCCAGTTCTTTGGCTCTGACAGACCTGGAAATTCTGGGGAGTACGGTTGCACGCCCTTTCAGCCGTTGGGGATCAACCTCCGCTAGCAGCTAGCAGTGCTCCATGTCCAGTGTTTGCATGATAAACGAAAAAGAAGACACTTCCTGCGTAGCGGTCGAAGGACCAGGATGAGCACAAATTGCACGTCAGTGTGGAGCTGAGCCTTTTGGCCGCAAAGAGCAATGATGCTGACCAGATGACAGATGATGCTGCAACCCATCAAGGACATCCGGAGCTTGAGCTCGATGTGGAGAGGCTGACCTACTTCTCTTAAAACTGAGAAAAGCAAAGGCTGCTGTAGGAAGAAGTGAGTTCTGGCGCTGTGAGGAGTCTTCATGGCTCTGAGCCTTGCGAAGAGGACGACGATCAGCTGGATCCAGATTCCTGGCTTCCTCAAAGTCAGTGCAGCACATTGGCCAGGTTGCCACTTTGCTGCGTTGCAACTCTGCCTTGCCATCTCAGGTGATTGGGGCCAGCCAGCCGGAGGTCAGCATTGAGGGCAGCATCGCAGCTGTGGCAGGTGAGACAGCAACCTTTGGGGGTTCAGGCAGGATGTTCCGGAGCGCAAGCGTGTCCACACCCAGAACACAAGATCCGTGCCAGGCAGAGACAACCATGACAACCATAGTGCCGATATGGCGTCCGAGCGCTCAGTGTCGCCACGACCTATTCTGCGGAGGCTGGGCGGCTTTAAGCGGATTGGAGCGAAGTCGTTCAGAGCCGATCAGTGCGACAGGCCTCCTTCGAAGGATGCCTGGCGTGCTCGGCCCGTGACCGACGGACAAGCCTCGCTCTTGAAATCTAAGCTCGAGGAGACGAAAGAGAGCATGTTTCATGCTGTGAAACAGCAAATAAGAAGCGCCTCTAGACAGACTCTAGCAATACTTGGACTCTGGTTGGACTGCAGTTTGCGCCTCCAGGAGCTTTACCTGGAGCAGCGCTTTGGCCCGCTGAATGTGCAGACAGACAAGTTGCTCTACGCTCAAGCCTGCCAGCAGCCGTACAGGGACTTTATGGGGAGCCGGGGCCAGCAGGGCCTTTGCACTGGAAAGGCCCAGGATGATGGTGCGGCTGCGGCCACTGAGACCGAGGATCTATTCTATCTGACATCTGAAGATGGCACTCTTTATTCAGAAGCTACCCCTTTGCGGGGGCAAGCCTTGCAGCAGAGGCCCGGAGTGCTAAAGGTTTAGGATGGTTTAGGAAACCCTTACAGTCGCACAAGAGCGAACCCCTGCAAAAACAAAACGATGTGGGAGTCAAGAAGTCCTCGAAACATCAAAAGGCATTCTTAGCGCTGCGTTGCCGGCTTTCAATGTCAGAGGAACACTTGCAGTATGCGCGAAGGGAAGCTTTCTTTGATGCCTCTGTAGTGCAAGATCAGGCGTATGCCATCTTTCCTTGGTGTAGTAGATTGCGGCTTTACTGGGTCGGCTGAGCATGGCAGACCACGCATGCCTATTGTCACTGATGCGACTTGCTGAAGCTCTGCCTGGTCTTCATTCGTTTCAACGTCAATTCCGTTTGCACTGTGTTGAGGGGTAGGTGCTGCGTTCAGGTTGGGTCACAGAAAAGATTAAGCCAACGGTTGCCTCAGATGCAAATTGCGCATGGCATTTCCTACGAATGCTGCTTCCGTGCCCACATTCATCGTGAACGGCCATTCCATACTCCGTGCTGACAATGAGTGTCCTGAGAATTGAGTAGGCTTTGTGTAGTTCTGGCCGATTGGACCCCACATGAAAGAGGTAGTACGTTGCCACTGCACAGGTTGCTCGGTGTTGAATCCATGGTGAGCGTCTTCATTCCGAAGATTTTCTTTAAATCGAGCAAGATCCATTCTTTGGAGACAAGCGTTTTTTCACGCGACCGCCAGGCCTGGAACAGCAGGCAGCACCATCAGCACCCCGGCCACCAGGTGCCCCACGAGAAACAGCCAGCTCATGAGCCCACCGTTTGCATGGTGCTTGCATGCTTTTTCAGGTCTTCGCCAGCGATGTCCCGACCGTGGCTGGGCCTCAAATTAATGCACGGCTGTTCGGCGATATCACTCTGATGACTTGCCTATGGCCTTGTCCTCTTTTTCCTTATAGCCTGGACATTTGACACATTTCTGATTGCTGCGGCTTGCAAGATCGTCCTCTCGGCCTCGGTCGGCGGGTCCAGGACGCTTCCGCTAGCACTGAAGCAGTGTAGGCAAAGCGTCTTTGCTCGTAGCAAGGCACAGTCCGTCAAGTAGCCCGGTAGCTTGAAATGAAAGGACGCGCTTCGCTTTGCCCTTAGTTGACCAGGCATGTTCTAGAGCTTCTGACTGCCTTTTGCTCGTGTGCTCTGCTGCATGCTTCTAGAGTAGATGTGGCTGAAGGTTGCCGAGCGGTGAAAGATGCAAGACACCGGCAGGCAATTCTTAAGAAGTTGTCCGATGCTGTTCCGGAAGAATTGAAGTGCTGTGTCCATGCCTGACCTTTTGTTACCTTTTGGTTTACGAGGCAAAGGTGCAGTCCCACCACACATTGCCGGTGGCCTAGACCTAGAAGACCCTAGAGTGGTTTTCGAGGAACTGCCCAAGAAATCAGTGCCATCCCTAAGCACATCAGCATGATTAGACCCAGACATGTCGCAGCCCTTACCCCCTTTAGAGAACTTGTGCAGTTGCTTGAAAAGGAACATGTTTCCAGGCAAAGGGTTGTATACACGAAGTGCTACTGATAGCCACGTTTGCACTGATGCGCAGTCTGGTTGAACTAAGAAGCACGTTCTGACTTCATTGGCCCGGGCGCTCTACTGCTTAGCTCCTTGCAGATAGGCCACCAGCGCAATCCATGCGCGGTGGCCCCAGCTCGCTGCTGTCGCTTGCAGTCTTGTCCCAGAGCATGCTTTCACTAAAAGCTTTGTGCGGACTTGGAAGTGCTTTCGCAAAGGGGCATGTAGCAAGTAGTAACTAGTAACTGGCTAGCGCGACTTTCCTATTCGTGGAGCATGCTGCTCGTTCATTTGCCTCTCAGAAGACGACTTGGCCAGCGCTGGCGTGTGCTGCCCCCGAAGCATGTGAGGCAACGAGAGCTACTTGGGTTGTCATCCGGGGTAGCAGCTTTGGCACGTCTGAGTCAAGTCCTGAACAACAGCAGCTGCAATTCTCTTGGGGCCCTGCCGCCATGAGCTTCTCAAGCATGCGCAATGGCCGATACGTCTCAAAAGAAAGATGCGGAAAGGCGGCAGCCTGGCCATGTCTATGCATGACCTGCAGTACTTACCTCTAGAGATCTGGGCTGTGCAGATGTCTGCAGCTTGAGGATCCTCGTTGTGGGAGCCGGTGTTGCCGGCTTGGCAGCAGCACGCCACGCACCTTGCTGCAATTTCGTGATCGCGTCGGAGCCCTCTCTGAATGTTCCTGCTGTTGTAGACGGCGCTGCTCTTGCTTGTAAGAGATACGGCCATCTGGCGGGAGAGTGCCCATAGTGCCCAGGCATGTCAGCACAACCATGTCGAAGTAACGGTACCAGCCTCAAAGATTGTGGTGTGGTTATCACGCTGCACTGAGTTGTTGCAATGGGAGCATTAACAAGTTTAAACACCTTTGTATAGCATTGTGGTCTCAGGTTCTAGAAGCTCGAGATCGAGTTGGCGGCCGTGTCTGGTCGGACTTTTTTGATGATGGTCGTCACCTCAGTCGCGATGAAAGCGACACGTGCGCTCCTGCTTTGGTGACCACTCGGAAGTCTCCTGCTTTGGTGCCAGGGTTTGTGCTCTGCAAGCAAGGACTTCAGATCCATCCCTCAGAAGCTGCCCCCGATCTTGCCTGATTAGCGCAAGGCACCGTTGTCGATCTCGGTGCCCAGTACGTTCACGGCTCCTGTCCAGAGCATCCCATTGCCAGCATTGCCAAGGCTGCGTCTTGGGATGTCACAACATGTTTCTGATCAAGGTGGCATGAAGCAAAGCACAGAGCAGGGTGGCTAGCAAAAAGTTAGCAGGTGTGACGACTCCGCGTGTCTCCAGGACCATCCGGAGTGGGGTGAGCTGGTGGAAGCGGACTGGGACAGCTGCCCCGACTTCCAACTGGGAACTGCATCCGAGATCCCGGAAGAATGGACCCAAAGATGCGAGGACAGGATAAGTTAATATTGTGTACAAGCAACAACATGGATGATGTTTAGAACAGCAACTCAATCCACGCCAGCATGCATAATCACTCCCCTTTTGCTTTCAGGATCTCTTCCATCTGACCCAGGATCTGTTGCAGTCCTCCAGGTCCAAGTCTGAAAGGCAGTGTCTGGTGCCATGTGCTCTGATATTTCATGTGCCACATGCCTGGATCCCATGCTGCTCATCCACATGAAGACTGAAGCTCCAGATCCCTGAAAAGGCTGGAAAAGGACGTTCCGCTTTGGGATGGGCTTCGGAGTTTGAGCGGCCCGGGCTTTGAGTGGTCGCAGCTGAATCAGCGAGAGGAACTGCTGCTGAAATGGCGCTGGGCACGAGAGACCGAGTGGATCTATGCAGCGCGAATGGAAGAGATGAGCTACAGCTGGTGGGATGATGACCTGGAATTTCAAGGGCCTGACTGCTCATGGCCAAGGGGATACACCGGGTTTATAAACTGGTTGTCAGAAGGTCTTGACATCCGTCTTGGAATGCGGGTGGTGGCAGTACTGCAGAAGACGGACATTGTGGAGGTTCACTGCCTCACCAAAGATGGTAAAGCGGTGGTGGAACAGGCTGCACTTGTCATCGTTACCCTACCACTTGGGGTCCTGAAGGCTGGCAAGGTACAATTCCTGCCACCTCTTTCTGCTGAGAAGGTATCCTCGATCCGTGCAGTTGGAGTTGGCTTGTTGAACAAGGTCGCCTTACGATTCGACAAGAGGTTCTGGCCAGATGACATTTGTGGATTTGACCGCGTAGCCGTCTGCAAAGAACAGCTGGAACACTTGTCAGACAACCTGGAACCACACGAATGGGTGTTTCTGCCGGAGTCTGCCCAAGCCTGAGGGACATCGTTCTCAGGTTGATGGCTGTCAGGTTAAGCAGCCAGATTTACTTGAAAGAGGTCACTGTCGCATTGCCGCGTACTGAGGCTGGTGCTGCAGTGGCTATCGCATTCTTCTGCTCTGACATGGCTCAGATGCACGGCTGCAGGATGCTGCAGGTATCATGTGCGCATGATTCACTTTCCAGCATAGATGGTCCGTTGAAGCCTTTCAGAGCAGTCTCTGGGCCTCAGGCGAGCAGAGTCCCTCTCTGATGAAGAACTAACTCAGCGCTGCCTGCAGGCAGCTTTCTTGGATGCCTCGCAGCTTTTTATGCCTTGTCATTCAGTTGGCGTGCCGTACTTGGGGACAGATCTTGGCCGAGACCTTCGATGTGGGATGCAAGTCACTGGAGGCTGCGAAATCGGTCCTGATTCTGAAGTGGAGCGGCTTTTCGGTGCATTCGCTTGCAAGGCGCGGCTGTGCGAAGTGAAGCGAACGAGCTGGCAGGCTGGCTTGGCTGGGCTTGGCTGGTCTTGCTTGCCCCCTTCGCTTAATCGACTATAAATGGCTCTTGTCATGTTATCCCGCCCTTATCGTCGAAACGCAGCGATTTTTTCTGATTGAATCTCAACTTTATGCGCGAGAAGCATGATGTTCCACTGCACGTACGACCTATTCAGGCAGACGAGTTTGCGCAAGGAAGCTACTCGTATCTTCCAGTTTCCACTTCGCCAAGACATCGTCAAACTCTTGCTGAGCGACATGGGGAACGTGCGGCTTGGGCTGCGAGGTTCTTTGCAGCTTCCTCACATCCCGAAGTATTGCGTCAGTGAAGCAAGATGACAATTCATGGAGGGGTTCTGGCAGTAAGTCCAATCCGAATGGGCAATACAAGGTCTGGTTTGCTGGTGAACATGTTCGAAACGATTATCCTTCAACAGTGCATGGTGCGTATCTCTCTGGTGTGGAAGCCGCGGAAGGAGCACTAAGGCCGGATAGCCGCCCAAAAGTTGGCTTTGAAGATGTCCTGGTAATTTCCCTGCAGGTTCCTGCACACTGCACCGTGTGTTACAGGCTCAGCCTCCAGCGCAGCTGGCTATGCTGGGCTGGCCCAGGTCTCTGGAAAAACTTGACGCTAGATTCCAGCGGTGCCTGAAGTTTGAGACGTGGAGATGAGCTCATTCTCTTATGTGAGTTGCATGAAGACGAACCAGAGTGGAACCAGCTTCGGTGGCTCTATCCTGTGCCAGCTGGCAGTTATGAGCTCTGAGCAAATGTGCCTTCTTCAGCTCTTCAGCTCTTCAGCGCTGCCGTGAAGCTCTGGACATGCCGCAGAGAAACTTCATACTCCGGTGCTGAGCAACACTTGTCTCTTCTGGCCAGTCTTGCGTGAACTGCGTTTGATGGGCACATCCCCAAAGTGCATGGCCGGAACATGGGACTTAAGAAGGCACTAGTTGCCTTGCTCGGCACTTCCCTAAGTTGGCTCCATGAAGCTACCGCAAATCTGCCGGAAGAGCTTCACACGACCTTTGAATCAACGTGTGCATTCCACCATGACGACATGGTCCTTCAAAAGGGCAGCCAATAAGCCGAAAACGACAAGGCCGTGTCAGTAAGTCTGCTTGATGTTGCCGCAAGGAGGAGAAACAGGTGCGGAATACATTTTTGTGAATTGCTCGATGCCTTGCTGGTATGTGCGATGCAAACCATTCCTGCCAGGCCGCATCATTGCAACCTTCCCTCAGTGTTGGTCACGGCGAACCAATCAATCTGAGGGAAGGCATGACACTGATGGCCGGCGAAGCCAAGAATCGGGTTACTGCCTGAGCAAGTGGTACAGCCTTTTCAGTCCCTGCCACACCTCGCGACACTTCACAGCGGGTTCTGTTCACCTGTTTAATGCATCGCATCGCAAAGTTCGACGCAAATGACCCGCAGTTGGCACGCTGCGTCTCCAAAGACAGCGGGGCAGTAAGCCCGAAGCGGATATCTTGCCTTGCTTTAGAGACCCCGTGCCAGTGACCCAAGACTTATTGTCTGCAAAGCCAGTTTGCTGAGTGCAGAAGAGGTTGTCAGAGAAGCGGCTTTGAGCCCACGGGTAGGATGCTTCTGATTCCGGGTTACCCTCGGTAGGATTTTTATTGCTCCGTACTTCTTTGTGCTATTTTTTCTGCTCATAGGCAAGCAGCTGACCCCCGAAATCAACTTACTCATACGCGATAAGCTTTGCAATCTTGTGGGATGTCGATGTGGCTACTGAACAGGACTTGCTTGCCTTACACTGGTTGATCATGAGCTCATCAATGAAGGAGTGGTGCTGAACATGACGATGTTGCATCCTCTGCTCACAGCTTCCGAAACATATCTGGATGAGATAGGATGGTGAGGTGCGCGTACAAGGGCAGGTGACGCCCTAAATGGCACAGGATGTGAATGCCTCGGTGGAACGGAAGGTCTGGGGCAGCTAGGAAGCATGAATCTGACTTGTTTCTGAGGCCTATGTGCAGGGCTCATGGGGCAGAGGCCCCGACTTTCCACATGGTCCTGCACGCGCAAACCTCATGGCGGCGTGCCCAGCTGTCAGATTCGCAAATCAAGTTCAACTGAGCAGCGGGCAGAGGTGGAGCCTATGCAGACAGTGTTCACGAAAAAGGTGAACTGGGAGGCTGGTGGCCCAGATACTCCTTCGCGACTTAGTTCCTAGTCCTTTGCGTGATCTTGCAAAGGTGCGGTCCCGTGCAGGGGCGCCGCAGGCCATTGAGCGCTGGGCCGCAAGCGTGCCTTCGCCTGGGACTCGGAGGACCCACAGAATCCTACTACATCCTACCACATAAATCCACATGAATCCAGACTGCCTGAGGCGGCGGGTGCCGTTTGCAACGCTGGGCCACCGTGCCGAGCTGGCTGCACTTTTTGCATTTCTGAGCTTAGACTAAGTATGAGTTTCAGAGTTTCAGTAGGAGTTTGGAGCTTGGCAGGTCACCGGGGAGTTTGCTCTCCCCTCTTTACAAGCCGAGACGAGGTCGCCGCATCCTCGTTTGATGTTGAAGGACTGCAAAAATTCAGGTTTCAGTTCGATGCAGTCCGCAACCCTACAGTTGGACCCCCAAGCCTGCAATCCTTAAATCTCACAAAACTAAAACGATGGCGGCAAAACCTTAAGCTCTTGGCAGGAACAACCCCCAGATTCCAAATACAAAGAACTCCAAACCATGATCCCTACTGCAGATATTCGACCCTTTCAATGACCACTGGCTGAGGCACCTCGTGCGGGCTGCCTCGGCTCCGCAGCTCGACCTAAGTCTCATCATGCGAGAGCCTGCAGCTGAGTCATGGGCATGCGCGCCCTGATGTTGTTGGGTGAGTCTGCTGAGCTGCTCCCAATTCCAAGGCGGCGGCAGGCACACACAAGGCAGCGAGCGGAGCAAGCTCTTCATGCCCCAGACTTGATGTTCTCCTCGCCGACGGTGCCCGTGAAGACATTTTCCTCAGGTCTACAAAATCTCCAGTTTGTCAGCATCGGCTGAAGGATGTGCGGAGCCATAGGTTCGAAAGGCAAGGAGAGAGGTACCGTGGCCGAGCTGGCTCACGGAATGGAATCTAGAGTTGTCCCTCTGTGAAATTTGTGTAGCAAGTTGATCAAGCATGCTAAGCATGCCTTTGTCAGCTTTGGTTAGATATGACTGTAGCTCTGCGACACGGAGTTTGAGCACAGGCTGGCTGTGCATCCGAGCTGCTTTGGCAAGGTTGCGGTCAAGGGACATGGCTTGCCGGTTCAAGCTCCTGCGCTCTAGCAGCCACAAAGTGGCAGGCAAAATTTAGCAGCTGTAGCTGATGCGAGCTGACACGGTTGTACCAGTGTTGCACATGCCTTCGAGCAGCTTGGTGCTGGGTGTACTTTCGGCCTAGAGCTGGTTCAAAGCCTGCCAAAGAGCTGCAGCTCCAGACACTGGAGTATATGGGAGTGTTCAGCGTGTTCAGCATGATGAGGAAGACTTTTCAAAGCTGCGCCATGATGACTTGTTGATTAGTCAGTGGCATGTTCTTGCATCTTCCACTTCAGCAAGCAAACAGGGGCCTGGCCTACTTCATGAGCTGATGATAGGAGGGTTGGTAAATTCAAGAGCTGTCCCCCATACCGTTTTGTTTTTGTTTGTTAGAGCCTTTTTGACTCGAGAATGCAATGGCAATACCGAATTCCGTATGCTTCGCCCCTTGGCTTAGATGCAACCCCTTGGCCCGGAGTCACTCTCGTCAAGCCGCAGTGCACCACAGGATATCCTGGACTTTCATTCTCTCGATTGGCGAGGGGCCAAGAGACATTTCAGCTTTTGCTGAAAACATATGCTGCAGGCAATCCCGTGTTGTCGTTCCGCTAGACGATGGAGACAGAAAGCTGTACCTGCTACATACATTGTATGGCTCTACAACCAGCTGCTGCGAGGTATGCTGCTTCCACGAGGATAACAACGATCCTTGCCCAGAAGGGCTTCTGCTTCTTGCGGGGTTCCGTGGACGAGGCCATCAGCATGCGTGCACTTCAGATCAAGTTTCCGCGAGCAGAGCAAGCCCCACTACCAGGAAGACAAGAACAAAGCTCGTGAAGAGGCAATGGGTCCTTGCAGTTGGCAGGGACGCAACAGCTGCACAGCGTGCTTCTGGGTTTGCTTCGAATCGGGCTTTCGCCCTACTGTCGAACTTGCTTGGCTGATGGCTGCATTACATGATCCTGGCGCTTAGCTACTGACTTTTCATCTGTTGCCTCGCCACTAGTGCCATGGCTGCAGCGTTGGCTCACATCGGATCCCAAGCAAGAAGAAATGAAGAAACTGAAGGTACTTTGGAATGAACTCAACTCAGATCCCGCATGCTAATAGCCTGCACATATACCTCCCAAAAATGCTACCGTACTACTTGGTCTTCAAAGTGCACGGCCTTGTACAGATTCGGCCTATGCAGCGGATATTTGCAGCGCAGACTGACCTGGGACTGAATGGTGCTATACCTCCAGCTGGGAGCTTGGTAGATGTTTGCATCAAACCTTCAAGAGGTCAAGGAGTCGAAACGTCAGCCAGACATCCAACACCCAAAGTCTTCACCCTCATATGGACTGCATTTGTGCTTGTGTCAGGGGGACTCGGTCAGGCCTCAAGATTCTCTTTCGTCCATTCTTCATCCAGGATTTTTTTGAGTCCCCGTTGCTGTTTGCATGATTCTATTTTGCGTCCGAGAGTTCCTTGTGCACTCCAAGGCTAATTATTCTCTTTGGTAGGATGGTAGGTTTTGGGGACCAGCAATCCAACGTTTGTGTTGGCAGGATTTGGTCCGAAGGATTGTATTGCAGGCATAAACCCCATAAGTGATCAAAACCGGTGATTCCATCCGTGGGATCACTCCGCATGTATATCCAACCCGATATCAGAGGAAACTTGTCTCCAACAAATCCCCTCTTCAAGAATGACGGTATGGTGGGTGTTTTGAGCGGTCCGTCAAGTCCTCCCGTCACTCTCAGGATCGCTAAGATCCTGTAGGATCAGAAAAGCGGCCGATTGATGTCCCATAGCATCTTGGACACCTGTCAGTGGCACAATTTGCGAATGGAGATGTGCCGGAGATCATGCTGCATGCCACATTGTCCCAGCCAGCAAACGGCAGTTTTGCGATTCTGTTTCCTCCTAGATCTCTTGCAGAGGGCATCGACTGCTGAATGCCATTCTGAGCCGGTGATGCGGGCTGCGGACGTGGACGGTTGATGGACACTGGCAAGTAAGCGACAGGAGTGCGGGACCAGGCGTGAGGGATCGGCCCCTGATGGGCTCCGGATAGTGGGCCAAACACGATGACCATATTGGCTGGAAGGAAGGTCTTAATGCGCAAGGGTGCCACATGTTTTGGGCCCTTGCAGCTCCTCCCATTTCTTTGTGGTTTCCTGGCTCGACCTTTTTTGAATCAGGACCCGAACCTTTCAAGAATCAGTATAAACTAGTTCACCCTGCGACTTCCTTTGAAGAACGGAGTTTTTTCTGCAGGAAACGATTTCCTAGAAAGCCCAGCATCTCGTAGCAACCCAGGAGAACGCTACAGCAAAGGAATTCACAAGTTGCCCGCCGCTCCTCTTATGCCCATCACAAGTAGGCCCTTGTTTTGGATGGCCTGCTCTGGATGCAAATTCTTTGACTTTAATGGTTCCCCTCCACCTCAAACCCGGCACACTCCTGATGCCTCAATAGCATACAATCAGAGACATAATTCAAGAGGGCGTCCAGTGTGACATGTGACGCTTGCTTAGGCTGCATCTTGAGAATACATCGCAACGATGCCAGCTGCCAGCGGAAGGCCAGGACTCTCGACTGCCAAACCTGTAAACAGCTCGATTTCTTTCCATCTCAAGCACCAACACCGGCGGCATGCCTGCTTGAGCTTCCCGATGGCCTGCGAGGCTTTATGGCCATTGGGCGGAATGCGGACTGCGAGATTGTTTGCCTGAGCCTGAACGTGAGATCACAACATGTCAAGTGCTTCTCAATTTTCATGCATTGGAAAGGCGGGAATCAGGCGATCAGCGGTCGGTGCTTCAGAGTGGTATGCACTTCGTTTGTGCTTTCTTCAACCGACGCGATTACACAAGCTGCGACAGTAAAGTTTGCAGGCAGGCATTGCGTTCTTCATTGCCGTCGGTCTGACCCTGAAGCGCCGGTCGTTGAGGATCTCAGCACGCTCCAACCTCGGCTATTCCTTTCGAGATGTAACAAATGACTTTGCCATGGTCGACCCATGGGCGTGGCTCTCTCAACTCTCTGCAAAGCATCATGCTAAGTCCTCAACTTCGCAAGACTGCAGTCTACAGCTGTACTTGCGCCAGCTGTCGCAACACGGGCCCGGACAAGCTAGTGCTCAGCGGACTACTGCAGAAGAAAAAGTGAGTATTGACTTGTATCTCTTGGTAGCTTGTGGCGCGCGACGACTTGCTAATTAGGGCCAAGCAGCCTTGCATTGACCAAGGGGAGCAACTACAACTGGAGCAATCGTGCGTGCTTTCTCCCAGAAGTACCTGTGCCGAGGAATGGAACTTTTGTGAACGGAGTTCGGCTGCAGCGAGGCCGAAGTCTGCTGCAACGCCTAGAATCTTGCTACTGCTTGAGACCTGTGCTTCCATCTTAGCAAGGCCAAAGGCAGGAGCTGCGGCCTGGTGACTGTGTCGCTTTGGCCGCTACGCGAGGCCTTGTGCCCAGAAAAGCCGAGCAAGATGAGCAAGGTGTCTTGGCGTTGCCAAGCTTGATTGAGGCCCCGTGACATTTCAGCTCCTGTCAGAGGCCGGTCGGGTCTCCTACAGCATCGAGAGTTTGCTGTTGTGCCACATCAGGCCAAAGAGAACTTGCAGGAACTTCGAAGATCCGCTGTGACCGACGAGGCCGAACACAAGTTACATCACCGCACTTCAGCCAGGAAGCTAGAACGTGATCTTGGCCGGCCTTGGCTCTGCCATTTGTGGTTTGAGCTTTCAGCGCTAAGTCTCCGACAGCTTTTGGAAAGGAGATCTTTACAAGTCGTTTTTGTGAGTAGAGCACACGTACGCAAGTGCTGCTGTTGAGTGAGTCTTTCAAAGCTGTGTACGTTTGCTTGCTGTGGTCAGCGCTGACTGTCCAGGTGCCAGAGGCAGCGCAGCAGGTGAAGCAAATGAAGCAAATGAAGCAAATGAGCCAGCTGCGAGACAGAGGAGACCAAGAGGGACGCGTGTCCGGAGATCATCTTCTTCGCTCATCTGCACGGACACATGCCCCACCACCTGGCGATGAAGATGGGGTTTCCGTGGGTGGGCAACATCTGGACGTATGTGGCAAAGGTCGCAGCGGGAGCGGCACTGGGCCAGGCTCGGTGGAGCAAAGTACGCAGAAGGACACAGAGCCTTCACGGCAAAGTCCAAAGAGTCTGCATAGTCTCCCAAGACCCGTTTTGGACATGCAGCAGACGCCCCTTGACCTGGATGCGGAAGCTGAAGCGGCGCTTGCGTGCTCCAGCCGAAGCAAACCGTTTCAATCATCGGCCAGTGATTTCGCGATCAGCCCTCCTCGAGGAAAGCGTCGAAAGCTGTCACAGGACCCCTCGAACCTAAGTGGTCAGGCTTTGCTGCAGTGGCTCCTCAAGCGCCATGTGGAGAGGGGTGGCAGTCCCACAAATGCACGAAAGGCGGTGGCAGGCCCGTGCGGGGACAGTGGGGCAGAAGTTCCTGAAGCTAGCACTCGTGTCAGAGCATTTGCTAAGGCAGGGTGCAACGCCAAGAAGCTGTTGCAAGAACAGCTCCAGAACTTCAAAGGTTTATTGGATGCCAATGAAAGCATCAACCTGGAGAATGAGTTTGGGCTCGTCCCTCCTCCTGCCAAGTCAGCGATCAGCAAAGCATCCCGCCGTAACCAGAAGTCCGGCCCTGCACATTCTGTCACAGAGGGCGCGTTGTTGGTTCTTCCAGCTGTTTGCCTGCAAACCAGAGCCATGCTAGCTGCTGAAGCCAGTGATGCCTGGGATCGGGTAAGGAAGAAGGCTCTGCTTGAGGCGGGCCGTGCGCACCGCAGGGCCTTAAAGGCCGACACCTCAAAGTTGCCTTGGCAACTTCCTTGGAGGACCTGGGAGCTTTCCGAAGATCTCCGAAGCTTCGATCAAGCTCTGCACCAGCTTCAGAGACGAAGCGAATTGGAACCCGGCCGCCGTGTCCTGATGCGCCAGCTTGGGGCTCAGCCCAAGGCGGGGCTGTTTGAGGATCCGCCGCAAGGCTCCCCGATGGCTTCGGCTGCACTGAACGCGGTGCTGACAGGTTCCTTACCGGCCGCGAGCACAGGCACTGTGCCAGCAGCAGATCCTGCATGTTGTTATGCTAAGGTGGCTTTTCGCAAATACCAAACATTTCGCCGAATTTTTCTTTTGTCTTGCACCTGTTGATGCAGGCAACGAGCTAGAGGCTGCCACGCTCCTGCCGAGCCGTGGCCGGGGGAGCATTGCAAGCATGATCAGCTCCGTGCAGCCAGACCTTCTCGACAAGTGGCACTCGTTGCCGATCTCGCAAGATGCTGCAAGCAGCAAGGATGCTTTGTTGTGCTTGCGCCTGTTTCGGGAAGCGTCTGTGGGCAAGATGAGCAGCTTTGCTGGCCGCCTGGCAAGAGAGGGGTTGACGAAAGACCAGCCGCTGGCACCATCCGGTGGCCAAGAGCACTGCTTTTGCAGCTCGTGTTCTGAATGGCTCTTGCGCAATAACAGCAAAACACATCAGTGCCGTGTGGGGAAGCCACACGCATCAGCGGCTGCAAGCTTGAAGTTATTCCATCAAGCATGGGATGGCCTGGAGCTGCGGCTCTCTTTCCAACATCGGAATGGTCAGGTGGAGATCTCCTGTGATGCAGCACTAGACAATGGCTTGCGAAGGCTGATGTGGTGCCAGATTTGGGAGCCAACGCAAGTGAGCAGCAGATGGCGACTGACGGCGGAGGGCTCCCAGAGTAAGGATACCTCTCAGACCATTCAGGGTCCTGTAAACCTGGCCCTCACAATTTCAAAGAACCTGCCCAATCAGCCCAAGAGATTTCTCCTATCTTCTGCGCAGCTGACTTTGTTGGGGTGGATGCGGCAACAGGAGCAGGCAACAGTTTTCACATCCTTGCAGACGGTCCGACAAGCTTTGTGCGAGGTGGGCTCTAGTTCAGGGGCCGGTCTGCGGGTCGGTCTGGGGCTTTTTGGGAACAGGAGTGCTTGAGTGCTTGCTTGTGATTGTCTGTGTCTTCCTTTTGCTGTTTCCCCCAGACGGATCTGGCATTCGAGTTGGAGCTGGAGCGACAGTATTCATCCCGCAGCGGCCTCATACTGACCAGAGGCCAGTTCCAAGTTCAAGCGTTGCTGAGACAATCCGGGAACAGAAAAGTGGCCTTAGCCTTAGTACCTGTACCCTCGGAATACTCGACCCATATTTAGTGATCAGGGGGCACACCGACTGTGCTTGCATGATGCCGCCAGGCTGCCAAGGGAGCATGTCGGTCGAGGAAGCTCTCGAAATGGACCAGAGCATTGCAACATGCGTGCTTGCTATGGTTGATGAGGAGGCCATCCAGACGACGGAATGTCCGTCTATGCCGATGCTGAATAGGCGCAGATGTCGAATTGAAGCTCGAGCGACTCTTATTGTCGCTCATCAGCAGAGCGTGCAGCATTGGCAGCAAGCCTTGGACGCTGCTTCTGGGCCGTCCCGCTTGAATGTGCTCGTCATTGCAAACCAACGCAAGATGCGGAGCCTGACGGTTGCTGAGGCACTTTCTGCACATGCATGCCTAAAGTTTTGCATCAAGAGCTGCCAAATAACATGTCAGTGCAGGTTGTCGAGGCTGACCTGATTCTGGTATCGATTCAGCTGTTCAGTTCAGAAGCCTACCAGCGGCACTTCGACAGCCTCTCCAAGCCAGGACTGCAAGTTTGGGACACGTCCTCCTTGGAGAAGCGGACCGAGATGGAAGCCGACATAGACCCACTAGTCTCGAATGAATTATGGCAACATGGAGAGAGCAGCGACACGTTCGAGCAGGGCGACGTGGTCGAAATGCATGGGCTGATCGCCAAGGCACACCTGAACGGCCGTCGTGGCCAGCTAATTGGTTGGCAAGAGGACACGCAGCGCTGGTCTTGTCTGCTCGGGCAATCAACGAAAGGATGCAAAAATGTGACCAGGAAGGGCATAAAGGACGGGAAGAGGCAACGTGGAAGGCCCGAAAGCGGCTGGGCTGGTTTTGGGAATCTTTGCAATGAGGGGGTACAGCAGAGAGAACCCACAAGCTTGCTTCCCAAGACAGCCTTTTCTCGGTGCTTGAGCCAGCTAAGATTAGAATAGAAGACTCGTTGAGTCCAACAAATACTAACGATACCATGACAGACATGCAGAATCTGAGAACGATGCCCTACCTGTAAGCCATCAGTTCAACTCTGAGGCCAGCTCATCAATGTCCGTGAATGCAACATCAAGAAGCTTACACAATCAGGAGAGCGGAAACCTTGTCATTTGATGAGGGCATCAAACAACAGATTCATTGATTGAAAGTGGAGTTTGCGCAGTGTCGTGAACGTCTAGGAGGGCAACGTGCCGCTGTGGTCAAGAGGCGCTTGGCGGAGTCTTCGTTGAAGGCTTTTGAGATGGTTGTCGATGCTCTGATTGCGGCTGCAGCTTGTAGCGGCAGGCCTGGCAAGAACATGCAAGAGCTGGTGTGAGATATGTCAGGTGTCCAAGTACTACTTGGAGCTGCGCTCAAGGGAAGACTACATGGCTCAACGTCAGGTGGGGTTCATGTGCACAGCGGCTAGTTTTGGAAATCTTTGAAACCGGTGAAGTGATTTCCACATGAGACTGCCTCTGTCATCGCTAGGGCAAGCGACCACGCCTGCCTGCCCGATAATGCGCTCGGGTGCATTTGTCAACTTGCAGCTAGGCAGCGCCAGAAAGCGGTAGACGACAACGAAGCAGGCGACGACGACGATGGCTATCTGCCATGATGTTTGGAGAGGGTGAAAGAGAGGCCGCGTGGCAGGACACGGGACCTGGAACATTTTGTTTGGACTTCATTTGCGATTTCATATGGACATAGAAGTGGCCAAACGCGTGTGCGCGCAAGGTGTTTTCGCGCAAGTGCGGCTTAAGCGTCGCACAAGGGACAAGTGATGTACACCGGTTATGGCCTCTGACGAAACAGGATTTGGCGGCAAGCTTGCGTTAGAGCTTTGCGCAAAGCGCCGCGCAACCGGGAAAAGGATGCTTGAACAACCTCCACAGACTCTTTGGATGTCTTTTGGCGCCAGCTCGCAGAACGGTTGGCCAGTTTGCCTTGCAAGACGCTTTCTTTTAACCTCCTGATTGTCTCACCTTGCCTGGTCAGGTGGAGTTGGAGCGTCACACCTTGCGATTGATACGGCAGGCGACTTTGAGCAGATCTTTGATTGATTTGCAGCGTTACCCTGTCACTAAACCGTGGGGTTCAAGACGTCCATGCTGTGTTGGATGTTGCGGAGTGCCGTGTGAATCAGACAACCCTTCTTGAAAAGTTTTCTTTGAGTACTTTGACAGGCTTCAAGGATGCAGCAATTTCAATCTCAAAATCCAAGCTGTTTGCAGGCAGTGACGACTGGTCTTTCAAAGGCAAATGAGGACTACTCGCTGTTAGAATGCCACAGCAAGCTCAAACTCTGCCAGTGCAGTCTTGCTATTAATTGGAAGCACATTGTCTTTGAGTAAGCTAAGCACAAAACGCTTCTCTTCATCTTTTTCAAGGGCATTTCTGTTTACGAGCGCCTTGATTCGATGAGGAGTCCGCAGAGCTCTCCAAGGCAGTGCCTGAGGTGCCGGAGAGCGCTTAAAGTTGCATGCATACCCTTGCCGTCTCCTCCGTTTTCACTGTGCATCTGCAGGCCTTGCCGGATGAACTTGCCAAGAAAGTCCACTTCCCGCTGCTCCCGTCTGCGGCATCTGAAGTTATTGGTAGCAACTCTGCTGAACCGATGGGAGCATTCTCCACTTGCGTTCATATCACAGGCATCATCATGCGTTTGCAGAGGCAGTTTCAAGGTGATGTTATTGATCTCGTGGCTCAGGTCCAGGCCTGCTGGAGATGTTTCGTTTCAAACGTCTGGTCATGGACAACTGCCACCTACTGGCAAGGCCTCAGATAAAGGCACGAAAATGGCCAGGTGCCATACTGAGCCAGCCTTGCCTCCAGGTCTCTGGGGCAGCTGGTGTCAAGCGGGTCAGGGTCCTCTGGCGGAGGTTTGAGCCAGTACCTGGCCAAGGCTGAGCAGAATGAGCAAAACAGGTGGAAAGTGATAGAAAGAGTGCAAGGTTCACAAATCCTTTTTTTGGGAGAGGCGGCCCCGCTCTATGCTGTCCTAGCGATTGAAGCGCACGTTCGATGGGGCATCGCCCCTTTGCGGCTGCTCGCCTCAGGAGAAAATCCTGAGGTGATTCAGCTTAATCTGGAGAAGAGGAATCTGTTGATAAGGTCTGTGTGTGAAGAAGGCGGTGGCCTCTCTGACGAGGTCGCCCCGCGAGATCCTCAGAAACTAACACACAGACACGAAGGGTTCAAGTCAGTTGCGGTGACCATTGGCTCAGGTTGGCGTCCTTGCTAGGTGTTCAAATCGCCTGGTCTGATGGCCTGGAGGCACATGGCACAGATGGTGAATCATGGGGTAACCGGAAGCCTGTATGACCAGAAGCCTGTGCAAGTGTAAGGACGAATTAAACCATGGAGGGCAGCTCGGCTCTTGCCAGGCAAAGCGATTTCTGGAACACCATGCTGCAGCAGCGGAGGACTTGCTTGCCACCATGACCTTCGACACCCCGCTTGTAATATTTGCAGCAGGTGTTTTGCGTCATCTTCACTTTGTGGGCAGCTGTTTTGGTTCAAGGGCTTAGCCCCAAGCAGTGGCCGGGCAAAAGGGCAGGACTCCGGACCCCACGTGCTGCCAGAATGTGCCTTGACTGCGCGCGTTACACGTTGGAAGCGTGCTGCCAAATAGGTCTTAAAGTTTTGTAAGGGCAACTCTTAACGTGTGCAGGTTTGGCGGCCTCTCGCGTTCCTTGGGCCAAGGTGTGCCTGCTCCTGAGTTCTCGGCTGGGTGTGCGCAAACATGCATCATCATCATCCATCTCTGGAGCATGTGAGAAGAACTTTCCCTGTGCCACACGAAACTCATGTTTTCCTCAGCACAGCTGCGCCTCGTGTTGTCACGCGTGCGACAAGATGAAGAGGAGGGAAGGTTGGGGGCACAACGTGCAAACATGCCGACATGCCGACATGCAGTATGCAGTATGCATGCAGTATGCATGAAGCATTGAAGTGTGCACTTGTGTGCATCCTGACCTTCCCCTGCTGGTGACCAAGGCGGCGCGCTACCAGCAATGTTGTCAGACAGGCGCAAAACGGAAATCACAGCAGAATGCATGCTATATCATGCTATTCTTCAATCGGGCTTCAGCGTTCTAACCAGACTTCACAGGCTGTTCGCACACCACTGACAATGGAGGACTGGGCTGAAGTTGACTTGTAGCTCGTGCATGCAACGGGTTGTGACGATCGCATCAGCCGACTGCTCCAAATTTGTGCGCGCGGAGGCATCAATGCCCCAAGCTTGGATGACGAAGCCTTTGTTGAGGCAAGGCATCAAGTCTATTTCAAAACGTACTACAACAACAACAACAACAACCACAACCACAACCACAACCACCACAACCACAACCACAACCACAACAACCACAACAACCACAACCACAACCACAACCACAACCACAACCACAACCACAACCACAACCACAACCACAACGACAACGACAACGACAACGACAACGACAACGACAACCACAACCACAACCACAACCACAACCACGACCACAACCACAACCACAGCAACAACATGAACCACAGCAACAACATCAACATCAACAACATCAACAACATCAACAACAACAACAACAACAACAACAACAACAACTGTAACGGCATGTCTAGATGTTTGTCTTGATTCCGTATAATCTGCGAGCTGCGTGTAGGCCGTTCAGTGTCCTTGGTGCATCGAGCATGCAGCGGCTGGCAGCGCCACTGCTGATCCTTGAGCTTGTTTATGAAAACGTCGCATGCAAGCAAGATGATGACCACACAACCCGCTTTCAAGCTCAGGAAGCCAATGGTGCCGGTGCCACCTGTGCTGCCGTCGGAGCCACCGAAGCCAAGCGTGAAGGCCTCGGGCGCCGCTCGGATTCGCATTGACAAGGAAGCCCTTCTGGCCAGGCCATCCAGGAAGCTGGCGCAGATGCGCAGACAGGTTCTGGGTCTGACTGCTGTTTACAAGCCCATGTGACTGGCTCCTGCGAACTCTGCCAGGACTTATGGACGTCTGCAAAAAAGATTCAATGGTTTTTGAGGCATGTCAACAATCACTTTGAGATGGCCTGATGCCTCCATTTTCTTGATATGCAGATCGGCATCTCCTTCGTGGTGCTGCACTACCAATCCATCTTTATCGGTGTCATGCGTTGCCTTTTTCAGGCACCATATTTTTGGTGGACTCTCCTATTTCGCCAGCCATTGCAGCTGCAAGCCTGCTGGTCCAGGCCTTCCGCCCTTTGCTGATCCTTTTCGTCTTTGGGCAAATCATCAAGGCTCGTTGAAGGCAGGTAGCTTGCGGAACATGATGGCAAAGCTTAGCTTGCAGGCAGTCTTCTTCATAGCGGGAGCACCGATTTGGATGTCATTCTACTCTATCTGGCTCTTCGAGGCCGGTTTACATTCGCTTGATGCACCTCCATGCTGGCCTCGGTTTGTCTATACAGTGTCGAAAACCTCGCTCGCAACACTCCGTGGGACCAATGCCATGCACATCTTGAGATTCCCTCATGGGGGCACCGTTTTTGTTGAGAAGCTTCCTTGACTTTGGGCTGGATCCAAGTGGCCGTCCTGTTTTGAGGTGACGTACGGGCTTGCTCAGTGCGCGATCTCGTTCATTTTCATCAGAGACTTAGCTGAGAGTGGTAGAACCTTAGGCGATTTACATCAAGATGTTGGCTTCAGGTTTCTTCTACAACAACCTTTCCTTTGCCCGCATGCGCCCAGCCTTGAGCCAAATGCTCCGACAGCAGAAGGCGCTGCTACCTGCACATAGCTGCCATGTTGTACTACACGCCTTCTCGCGACTCCTTGCGGTGAGTTTGTGGGCTCAGCCGTAAACGTTTCCACCCCTGAAAGGAGAAGTTGGCGCGTGCAGCGCGCACTCTGCTGTGAAGCCTGCAAGTTTGTCGCAACCTCGGACAATGCCTGGTTTGTCTGAATGCTATCCTCGAACCTCTTTCATCAATCGCCAATACTATGATAGATCTTCGAACGTATAGGAGGCAGAACTTCTGTGAACAGATCCTGAGCAATACGAGCTTCAAATGCGTAGCCCTTGTCTGCGAACTTTGCGGACCACTCGTCCGTGTTGTTGCTTGGGCGCCTTTGACCTGGAGATAAGTCTTGTGTGGGGTTGGGAGATGTTGGGAGGAAGGACCGGGACCTTGAGTTCGTCAGCTGCCAGTCGGCCCTGAGTTCCCACCTACATGATCGTTGTCTGGCGTCCAAGGAGAGGCAACCTACTCGGAGATCTGAAGTGAGAGGGATTGCAAGTACACCGCGAACTGACTATATTGATTGCCTCAGTCCGAAGTTGAGCTCCAGAAAAGATTGTCCGGTGCCGGAGTGCGTTCTTGTTATATTCTTGTTCAAAGAAGATTTAGCACGCTGGTATCTGAGCAGGAGGTGGAACCCTTTGCCAAGTATGCCAAGAAGGCATTGGATCTTTGCCTGCTCTGTGCAAATAGATTCCTGCTTTCTCCCACCGCGCGAACGCAATTCATGGCAGTCAGAAGCAGCTTCGTAATTGCATGAAAAAGCAGGAAGGGATGGAACATGACAGAGTTGATGCGAGTGAGCTGTGCTGAATTCCTGCCATGCTCTTATTGAAGTAGACACACAGCAGTACTGCTGATGAGACGTGGCGTTGCACCGGAGCACCTTGGTTCGACCTCCGGCCTAATTGTATCCGCATGTATCCGCCATGGCTTCACGTGCAAAGGTCACCCGCTCTCGCCGGAAGCAACTGTCCTCCTCGAAAGACGCGCAAGATGACGATCAAGGCTTCTGGCTGTTCCGGAGCCATCTTTGGCATGTGGGAGACCTGCCGATGCCGCCAGTGTGCAAACGAGTCACGTTGGGTTTAGTGCTGTTCGGTACCAACGCCATGCTGTTTTACTATAACTTAAAGTCTCTGCTGCCATCCAGCAGCTTCGAGCGAAGCGCGTTCAGGCTCGCCGGACCCGCTGTCTTGCAGGGGGCTGATGAAGTGCGCTCGTTGTCACCGTCGTCTCTTGTGACTCAGAGGCATATCCCTCCGTCAAGTTGGCCAGCGCCAAAAACGTTGGCACCACGCCTCACGGAACCTCAGGTACGGGAGGAAGACGCTGTGACTCAAGCAGACCGAATCATGGCTTATGCGCTGCTGCAAAACACCACGCAGATTCTTCGTTTTAGGACGAGCGCGTGGAGGATATCCATGCGAACGCTTACCAAGGGCCAGGAGCTGCCTTATCCCGATAAGATCAAGACATGGAACTTGACACATGGCGAATACTCAGGGAGCGACAACACCGTATTCTTGTCACAATGTAGCGCACAGGAGCTGCATGCGATGGATATACCATTCGGGAACTTTTTGTTGGAAAAGGCCGCTTTCTTGAGCATGAACTGCTCCAAGAAACAGCAAGCAAAGAACATTGGATCGAAGCTTGTGGTCGTGTATATGAATTTGCGAGAGAGTGGCTATTTTGGCCATGCCATTGACAACGTTCTGCCGCGAGTCTACGCTGTGGTTGGTGGTGCTCGAAGCTCTGGGCACAAGGTATCAGTGGTGCTGCCGCCCCTGGGCAGACGGTCCATGAGTGAGAACACAAAATTGCTTTGCAAGTTTCTAGGTCTCGAGCTGTTGCAGCGGGTTCCTTTGGAGCCTCACCGAGTGGTTGGTGTTAGTGGAGTTGCAGCCTGGAGCTGGGAGCTCCGGCAGGCTTTGCAGCGGGCCATTTGGACATCTCCGCTTCTGAAAGCCTCCAAGCCAGCTTTGTGCCAAGGAACTGAGGTCCTGCGCGCAGTAAACGCAACGCCGCAATCGTGCATTCCTTGCAACTCCGGCCAGCCTGGAGTGTTCCTGAGCCGACATGGTGGGACACGCAATTCGAGGCCAGTTGCAGGTGCAGAGCACCTGGAGGACGTCTTCCGACGGCGTGGCTTTGCAACTTTTGCCGATGCCAGCGCGGTGCCCTTGCATCTCTTGGCGCAGGACCTCTACGGTGCCTGCCGGCTGGCTGGTTTTTCAGGCACGGCCATGGCCAACTTGATCTTCCTACCACCACAGGCCGCTGTGGCAGAATTCAATCCGTATCTCCTGTATGCGAATTACTGGCAGTGGTCCCACGCACTGGGCTTCTGCTACTGCCAAGTGGCCATTCCGCAAAGCATCACTGCTGAAGACGCCGCAGCCTGGGCTAGAAAAGCCTTGGCTGAGGCTGATGAAGTTAGAGGGAATGGCACCCGGTGAAGAATGTCACTATGCGCTTACCCATTTCCCAAAGGGATGGTGATACCATGCCTGTTAGTCCTTGCCACTGCTCACATGCCACGCTTATAAGCCTCATGCTCTTGAAAACATGCGCTTGCCAGGACTGCTACAACCTGAGTTGCCATCTCAGCCACTGATGTGTTATGAAGCGTGGGAGCATTTACCTGCTGCTTCAGCAGCCGAGATAGTGGAAAGGATGCTTATCTGCAGGTCCAGAGCATTCCACGTTGCCTGAACAGACGCACTTCGTGCACTTCTCCCCTGGAGAGCGCCTAGTTTATCTTTTCCGGCGTTTGGAGCAGAAACTTGACAGCACTTTGCTGCCGCTGCAATCTGCAGCGCCTCATAGCTGAATGGTACAGTAGGAGTGTGAAGCAGGGCAGTCCGTCAGAATATGTAATGAGGCAGCTGGCGGCAAAGTACAAGTCTGAACCCAAGAGCAAGAAGGCCCAAAGTGAAGACCAGGCCAGCGCATCACCACCAGCTAACCACACTTCTAGAAACATTCTCCGTGATTGCACTTCAATATCCTCACCTGTGGAGGTGCATGCGCTGCTGCGGCTCTGCACCTGTGCGGACGAGACCACCTCTCCTCCGAAAAGCGGCGTACAGGACTGCGGTGATGAAGTGGCCCAGCTGCTCTTTGACAGCGTCATAGGCCATTGGAAATCGAAAAGTGCAGACGCAGTTCTTGCGGACGTCCAGCAGACTGACTTCGAGCAGAGACTACACGTTTTCAAGACCCTTGGTGCGAGGTTGCCCGGCTATGAGCGTGAGGTCCTGCTGGCCTGTGCTCACAGCACTGTCGAAGATCTGAAAATGCTCGCTGAGCCTGGCCCTGAACCAGTGGAAGCCCCTCTGCGCCGATTGGCGCAAGCTGCCGTGGAGGGCCTGAGTGGACGGCCAAAGGTTGCAAAAGTTGCGGCAACCAGGCAGGCTCAGGTTCCGGCTCAGGGGCCTGAAAGCTTCAGCCTGCACAGACCCACACGCGAAGGCTGTGCAGTTTGCAATCAAATCACGGACGCGAGCCGCGAGACGCTGAGCCGGCTTCGATTGGCGTGCAGCCGTGCCACGGCCGCGGAGCGCAGAGCTGCTCAGCGCGTCCGCATTGCGAGCGCGCTTGCTGCATCTGCCAAAGCCAGGTTCACTCTTCCAGCCGAGCTGCAGTCCCATGAAGTTTGCGGAGCTTGCAAGCAAGGTGGTGATGAGCTGCTTCTCTTTCCATGTGGGCACGTTGCCCATGCTGCCTGCCTAGACCGGATCAGTCGGAAGTGCTCCGAATGCCAACTTTCTATGGAAGCCGATGAGGGTCTGCGCCTAAACAGCCTCCAAGCTAAGCCAGAGGCTCCTGGAAAGAAATTCAGTTCGAAGGTGACGGCTGTGTCTGCACAGCTTAAGCGAATTCTCACAGAAACGAAGAGAAGCGCCCAATGCTTGGTTTTCGCTCAATGGCAGTCTGCCTTTAGGCAGTTGGAAGCAGCCCTGGTCGAGGAAGGCATGACACCCCTGGTTGCAGACGTTACGCAAGCTGAGCGCAAAGATGCAGGAGAGGATGTTGACAAGAGGATCATCCTTTTCCCGCCAGAGTTCTTGCAGGCCCTGAGCAAAGCGAATGCATCCAGCACTGTATCTATCTGGTTTGAGCGACTCGTGGCTCCTTCTGCTGTCCGTCACATCCTACTTCTACATCCGCTGCATGCAGCGCCAGTCAAGCGCCAGATGTGGGAGAGGACTCAGCGCTTCCAGGTGAGTTGAAGAATAGTATCAGTATGTGTCACAGCACGTGCCAAGTCAAACAAGCGACCCCCTGTGAGGAAACTCATTGACTTGGCAAGGACGGAGTCGTCCCTAGGCTTTCCTCCTGCCACGATTCTGCACCGCTTCGCCGTCTTCGGCACCGTGCGCCTCCAGTTGACCCCCAGTGTATAGCTCTTTCTTTTGCTTTGCTTTGCTTTGAAGGTGGAGGAGGACCTCGTGAAGCCTTCCAGCTGAGCTTGCATTTTGAGACCGTGCAGGTCTGTTTGGGCACATGGCTGAGGTCTTTCTAGTGTTTCATGGAAGGAAGAGGGCTCTGCAAACAACTTTGAACTCGTGCATGTGCCCTAGCCCTTCCCTAGGCAAATTCATGGCACCACTGTACAGCGCCGACTGGAAGTAAAAACGAGGAAAGGAACCATGCGAAGCATATCGCAGACGCAAAGCCACTGCCAGGCAGCTGCCTTGAAAGAAGAAGGCCGACTGACACGGACCCCTCTGGAGGCTGTAGATGCCTTCTATGGGGAGGCGCCGCGCTGAATGTATACTGTAACCTCCAGCCTGGTACGGGAGATTCAGTGAAAGCGCTTTTGCAAGGTGGCCTCGGCCTGGACGTATGAGGTCCGCTGTTCAGCAGAGGCGCTTGCAAACGGAGTTTTGGAGACCTCAGAGGCGAGGTCTCTTTTAGATGCAGGATGACGGGGAACCCTTGGCGGAAGACGAGCAAGGCCAGGTCTTCAGCCGAGACCTTTTGATGAACTTGACGTCTGTACACCTGCGGTACCCTACGGCTCTCAAAAGGTGGCAACACTTTCGCAGCCCAAGTCAAGCAATTAAAAGCCTGCTGAGCACATCTTGGAGAGCTCCAGTTAATTGGCTTAGTATGGCTGAAGCCCGTCTTGCTTGGCTTGGAAGCCCGGGCCACAGTCATGTTGATAGCACCTGAGGTCTGCGATGCTTGGATTCGTAGCGGACTAAGATGTGAACGCCAAAATCTCAAATCAGTTCTGGTGCGCATAGCTTGAGCATGTGACTTGACTGTTTCTTGGTGTTAATCTCAACACAGTGGGCGGTGCTTTTGATGCCTCGGTGGCAGCAGGAGCTTAAATCAAATTGGCTACTGCATCATGGCCGGCTGCACGAGGCCTGCCTTCGTTTTGCACGAGCTACCATTTTCCTGATGTTTAATGCTGCACGAGAGAAAGGCCTGCGACAGACCTCGCCAAAGGAAACCGTATGAAAACAGTGATTAGAAAAAGCTGGGTGGCGGCGATGCTTGTTGAAGTCATTTTCAGGCTCTGAGCCCGGCAGGCCCAGAATTCCGTCGAAGTTATCGTGAAGCGCGTCTCATCCAAATATTTGCGTCGCATCACGAATTTGATTGATTTTGTCGAGAAGAAACCGCTCAAAGCTGGCAAAACAATCACAAGAACCCGGCAAAAGCTCAACACTGGCTGCAAACAGATACCCTAGGAAACTGAGGCAATTGGCAATTGGAAGTCGAAACAACAAGATGATGAGATGTGCTCTGCTTTGAGAGTTCCTTCAACAAGTTGCAGCCATCACCTGGATCCTTGTGCATTGGCTCTTGCTTTGGTCACATGGTTGAAGGCCGACACTGTTACTAGTTACTACTTGGACTTTTGGCAACAGTCGGAATTTGGTGTGAGCAAGATCGCGCCAGGGCATGAGCGCACAAAACACTAGCCTTTTGTGTGAGAGTTGACCCTTGGCGACCTTTGACACATCGCGAATTTCGAAGGACCACTGTGCTTTGTTGTCGCGTGTGATCCAGAATGTAATTCCGGTTGCGGGAGCCCACCAACAGTTTTAGGTCATGTAAGTACTCCTGCTCTGCCAGTCACTTGAAGAGAGCCATCCGCGGACGCTCGCGCGGCATCCTCCACCACAGTCGGCTCCAGGAGGACTTGGAATTTGGCTTTTTGGCATTTTATCCTATTGGTGGATTACTGGCAGACTGGGAGGATGAGGATGCTCCCAACCTCGTGGATCCCGAAGAGGCCCTTCATTGTGGCAATGAAGGAATCCTTCTGGCAAGCTGGCAACATTCTTCGTAACATGTCCTTCCTTGGCGTCCCCTAAGACTGAAACCTACAAAGTCCAGCACTCCTGACATTAAACCAGCGGTCACACGTGGGGATGTTGCAAATCAATTCGCATTCTTGCAGGCATCGCGCTACGCAAGCCACTGTTCCACACGGAAGGCCAGCAAATTGTCATGGTTTCGGTTGGCCCATGTAACACTCAGACATTTACAACTTATGCAGGGTGAGCAGAGCTATCTCAGTCAGACTGTAGCTGTCGGGTTACACGTGCTCGCCGGAATCATGGCCCTGGCAGGTGATTCTTCTCTACTACCTGGGTCCATCTGCTGCTGTTGCCAGTGCGCCGGAACAGTGCTCTGAACTGCCTAGTGTGAAGTTTGCGCAAGCATCCTCGTGCAGGTGGCAGCGTGTTTATTTGAAACTTGTCATGCCCTCCAGGCCTGGCCCCACGGGACGATCCATCAAAGCTTTTCGAGGCAAGTCTCATTTCTGGAAGCCTTTTCGTCTCATCTGCACGCATGACACCCATAGTCACTCTGCGCCTTGCCATCATTTTCATTGTGCATCGCGGTTTCGGCTGCCTTGTTCAGCAGTTGAAGTGCTGGCAGTGCCTGAGCGCTGTCAGGTTCAGCACTTAAACAAAGAGGCGCAAGTCTCGTTCAAGGCTCACGAGCAAAGTCAATGCAGCGGCCTCACAATGACGGTAAGGCTGCGAACGCCACGTCAAAGCAAATATCCGCAACGCTACTACCTGTGAAGGCAGCTGGACATATTGCAAGTCCAAAAAAGGCTGAACAATCGACGCAAGATGGCCACATATGGCCGCTGCGTTTCGTTCCTTGAACTACTGCGATCTTCTGCTTGAACCTCCTGCCAGAGGTGTTCAAGAAGCCTCCGCTCTTGATGAAGCCCAGCTGCATGGACGCTCTGGAAATGGTCGTTGCCTCCATCTCCTGAGAGTTGCCTCAACATGCTCCTGCCTTGGGCAACAGCAAGGTTGCCCAGGCACCTTGATCCCTGTCAGCATCTTGCCAGCTCCAGTCTTTAACCCCATCCGTGGTCGTGGAGTTGCCTATCCGCACATATCATCACATATCTGCAGATGGCGCCTGTCATGTGCGACTTCAGCCGGTGTGTGATTTCACTTGGCATCACACCAAGCACGGGAATCCTGGACTGCTTTAAGCTGTTTTGACAACACCTAGGTGCACCTGTGAGGCCTTTGGGAGCTCTCTCTCCCTCTCTCGACTCTTCTCGCCCTTGCCTTCTAGATGATGTTTCCGCGCAATGCATTTTCATGCCGGCCTCGGCGAGGGATCACCCGCTCACTTGCCAAGCGACCTATTCAGAGACCTTGAATATTCAAGACTATGAGTGCGTATGTTCTGATGGGGAGCTTTGCTCGTGACATCGACAGCATCAAGGTCAGGGTCTCTGGCAATGCTTTCAGAATGCAAAGCATTACAAAGCACTGCTGTTCTTGCATTGCAATGCTGAGTAAAGGTGTAGAGGTCCAAAACCCTGATGCCAATGGAGACGGTCAGCTTCGAAAGCCTTCTGCGTGGGAGGTCCGCATGAAAGAGGACACTATCATTGCCTACGTGAACGATGCATGCAGCTTGGTCATCCAGGCCCGGGAAGCCGCCTTGCAGCCAAAGACCAGTGAGAAAGCTGCTGGCATCTTTTGAGGAAAGTGGCCCCGGGCTGATCTTCGAGGCATGGCGTAAAGCTGAAGTTGAGAGATCGAAGAGAGCGAAGAGTGTGTGGATGGCAGGTGGATTTGGCTCTTGAGACCAAACTCTCACAGCAACAGGCGCCCAAGGAGAGAGGGAAGCTGGGCTACTGGCGTCTCTGTGTGCACGTTCATTTTGAGCACTTACTGTGACTTACTGTTGTGGGTACGGCGGCCCTCTATGCCTGGCTCACAGCAACTTTACCGCGCGTTCGTCGCGGATGCCGCCTGTTGACCCCTGCGGGCTGCAACTCAACCTTGCAGCCGCTAGGCAAGGTCTCAGTATGTCATACTTGTCAGCATGCAGGCCCTGCACTAACATGCCTTGTGTGCGCATTTTGGAGCGGATTGCTCGTAGCCAAGGCACCTTACAGCTGGCTGCGTCATTAGCCGCCTCCTTTTTCACTAGCTCTCAGAGCAGCTTGGCCAGTAAGGAATGAAGAGCTTAGGGCGATCTGGTATGGCGTTTGTTGTCCATTTAGTATTCGTGCATGCAGGCTTCCGGCCGGGGTTGGCCTAACGCGTAAATTCACATGGATGCAGATGATGAAAAGCCACAAACAACATGAGCACAACACCTGAGCAGCCGACAAAATTTGACGACGTAGTCACTTTTTTCTATCCTTCAACTTTACAACGCTTGCGACGACGCCGTCCTCGCTTCACGGCGTCTTGCTTGCAGAGAGATAGGTCGCGATTCTGTGAACAGCTGTTGACAGGATTCGACTGCTGTGATATTTGGTCTTGCGCTGCTTAATGCGCATAATCTTTGCCGAGGCAACTTTACCTCAAAATCAGTCTACAGGACGCTCAGCCGCTTCAGAAGTAGCTTGAAGATTGATGAACTGTTGCAGGATTCACGGAGGGCCCCTGGCCCCGCTGATGTGCAGAGGCTGGGGAGTTCCATGACGAGTCCTTACCTGAAGCTGCAGAGCTTTGCCTTCAATGACGTTACCCAAATCATGGAAGCGAGGCTTGGTGGTCTAGCTGAGTTTCTCATCAAGCAGCAGAGGAATAAGACTTTTTAGCTAGGCTGCACTAGCAGAGGGGCACCGATGCTGCTTCTTCTGCTTCCTTTTGCTAGCTTTTTCTTTCCCCTGAAGGACAGTATCATAAGAATTATAGAAGAACGTTCCTATTGTCCTGGAAGAGTGCGAGCACCTGCACTAGACTCTGCTCTAGCTTTCATTCCAGTCCCTTGCTCTCAAGTCCACATAGAAATCGAAGTTGCTGTTTAATTTGTACTGGCTGATTTGGTTTGTTCTTGGCACGCCAGGCAAGCAGTGAACCGCTGTGCTATGGTCTCCAGCCTAAAGGCCGAGCCGGCGAAGACCTCAAACCATGAGCTTGTAACAAGTAGTGCACGGAACGATTTGTGAAGGAGAACGGCGCGGATTTTCGAGACAAGGACAGAGAGTTCAGGCCTTGCTCTTTGCCGCAAGTTCCAAGCAAAGTTCGCGGAACGCTGATGTAGCTACAGCGAAACTGACAGTTTAGCGTTTTCAGCTGCGATAGGGGCTTTTCAACAGCCTCACACAGACAAGAGTCATGGCCTGGTACAGCCTAGCGCACAGTGTAGACTGCCTAGCTTGTTCAAATTGTATCCAGACCTGTCAAGCCCCAACCCCGCCTTCAACTAAAAGGTGGGCATGCTAGCAAATCTCAAGAAGCGACAGAAGCCGTCAGCGCATCTTGCCAAGCTGTAAAGTAAAGCTGTGATTCCATGGAGTGGACGCAAACCCTACCGTGCTCCAAAAACCATTGCTGACATGTGCTTAATGTTCTTTATGGCAATTACCATTGCGAAAGTTGGCATGGGATGGCCAGGGAGCGCCCTGAGAAACTTGATCGCCCCGTGCGAGACAGGGACGAGGATGTGCGGGACTTACATGTTTGGAAGTGCTTGTTGAATAGGCTGACTTGAGGGACAGCAACAATTGCGCAAACCTACCAGTCAAAGGTTTGATTTGATAGACTGCAGATGACTGTTGCTTTGTCAAACTTTCCAGATTCTGGCACAATGTTGCATGAGGTTCGATTCTCGCAGACGCTCGCAGCGCTCCCAAGAAATTCAGGTGCGGCCATGCCGTTGTCGATTCTGGCCCTTGACTGACAGGATGTTCTCCTTTACTTGTATTTGTGACACCATTATCACAGAATCATTCTTGGCTTGTTGGTGCCAGCAAATTTTCTGTGGCAGACGGAACCTCGCACATTGCTGAGATGCGTTGTTCCAAGTTGTGTTCTCCTTCATCAGAAAGCCATCCGAAAGTTCAAAAGTAGTGATCTTTTTTGGAGTCTTTGTGCAACAGTCTGTCTGTATGGAGGATGGGTGATAAAGGTTGTCCTTGCTATTCCCTGCTAACTCATCATCTGGGCGCCTTCCACAGGCCCTGGAGTTTTCACGTCGATCCTGGCCAAGCTTGCGCGGGAGCGACGCTGGTGGGCTCACCAAAAAGACATGACAGCAAGTGTCTCCATAGCCGAAGCAACCCTTGGTCGACCCTGTTCCTGAGGTGGGATGTTGACGCGGTGTTTGCAGAAATGTCCAAACGAAGCATCAAGCCAGGTGCCTCAGAGAAGGTCTCAGGACGTCTTTCAGGTCTGTTTTTTTTTGGACGGGAGCAAACTGCTGAGACCAAACCGCATCCACCTCAACGCTGCCATCAATGTCTTTGCCAAAGCTCGGCTGCCTTCTGAGATCTTAGCTAAAAGTTTTTGCTGCTTTGTGCTGGAGTGGCTAAGGCGGCCGCAGAAAGCCGAAGAATGGCTGATTTGGATGCAGGATAATGATGTGAGACCAAATGAGGCCACGAACGACATTTGATGCTTTCGCTTGACTTGCAACTGGCAATTCAATGAATGTATGCTTTCATAACTAGAGTTTTGGATGTGCAGGTCAGCTACAACAGCGTCATCAACGCTTGTGCGCAGACAGGTTATGTTGAGCGAGCCGAAATGTGGCCAGAAACCTAAAGATTCTGGTTTGCTTCTGCAAAGGCTACTAGCTGTGGAGGTTGTTGGGCCCATCAAGAAACATTCCCATCCCGCGTTCTTCTGATGAAGGCTTGGAAGGATGCTGGAAGCTGGCATTCAGGCGAATGAGGCCAGCGCCACTGGCAGCTGTCTGCCAGGATGCCGTGTATCAAGTATTCTGTGTCTTGAACTCCATTGCGGAAAGGTCAGCTACAACAGTGTCATAAACGCCTGTGCGCAGAAAGGCCGTGTCTCTCGTGCTGCAGGGGCCTCTGCTAGTGGCAATTGGTTTCGTATATGACATGGGCATCAACCCTGTTCATACTGGCGGCACTACAAGCAGTCACAGCAAAAGCAATAGCAACAGCAGTATAGTAACATTGATAGTAATAGCAATGTCAGAACGAGGAAGTTTGGCTCGAGAAGATGCTTGCGGCCGGAGCACCGTTCTCAGTGGAACAAGCTGCAAGCTGCTCCAATGCCAGTAATGGGGATTTATAGGGATAATGGAAAAGAAAATGGAAACTACTATATTGGAGATTTGGGTTAATGTGGACGGCATGGTTGGATGAGGTAAAAACTGATGCCTTCAGCTACAATAGCGTCATCAACGCCTGGGCCTCGGCCGCACTTCATGGACCAGAAGCATCAAGGATGGCTTGGGTGTGGTTTCGGGATGTTTCGGGTTTTAGACTAGACTAGGGAAGCTTTGAAGCAGGCACAGCCGTCAATGTACAAGGGCTAGGGAATATTAAACGTGATGAGGGAGGTATCCATTGCAATCAAAACTGGTAACTATTCCAAAGAAGCCCGTTAAACAGCCGACCCAGTGTCCGTTACATTCTCAATTCCTTGGCTGCCTCGCTCTCAATGTGCAGCACCCAAACGCAATTGGAAGATCGGCTGAGGCTTGCGCTCAGCGGCGTGACATCGAGAGAGCTGAAACCTGGTTGGTACCTGCCTGAGCTTGACATGCACCAGGTCTGGTGGAGAGGGCATCCGGGCATTTGCAGTAAGACTACACATCGTCACAGCACCTGCACAGTGGCAGGAGAAAATGCTCAGCGAGGGCATCCAGGCAGATGAAGTTAGCGCGGGCCAAAGCACGTGGGAGACCGCAATGTGATGAGCGGTATGCCTACGACACACAGCCGCTCCCGACATGTTCAACCCCCGGCGGGCTGCAATTTCTCTAGGCTACAGCAGCGTCATCAAGGCCTGCGTGCAAAAGGCCTGCACGGGGTGAACGTTCCATGTCTTGCTTTAGCGGACACAGATTCCACTCCCGTCAGGGTGAGCTGGACCTTGCCGGATATTGGCACCGCTGGCAAGGGGTTTGTACAACATGAAAGCTGAGATTCCTGAAAGATCGTGTAAGACGGCAGTGGCCCAACTTCAGCGTCTGGGGCCTGACCTGACATGGTGACGCAAAGCGTTGCTCAGACCCAGGAGCAGCTCTGCGTTAGGGTGCATTGGTGCTTTTGGAGGGTGGTTGGAAGCTGGGGCTGTCAAATGGGCAATTGCTACTACCAACCAGGCATGCCACCTCTGGAAAGATTGGATGTACTTTGCACCTTAGTCTGCTTTAGCTTCGTGGACCACGATACATTGCGACTAAAGACCCTGCTCCTGCTTGCAGCATGAGCCAGGCTGGAAAGAATGGCAGCTGCAGGGTTGCAGGCGAACGAGGCATGATGCAGCGTTTGCAAATCCATGTTTTGGATGGCAGCTGCTCAAGATAAGTCGTGACCCGTGAGAAGTATCATCAGTCAGCCTGCTTGTGGGATGTTTGTGCAGAGAGTGCGGTGGCGCTTGTGGCAGGTCACCTACAACACGGTAGCAGGAGCTCAGACACGCACAGCCACAAGTTGCCTTGACTTCACAGATGGCTACGACTGTCCACCACACTAGTCTCTGATGAGGTCTTGATCTTGAGGGAATGTAAGGGGCAAAGGGAAGAATCTGTGAGGAGCCTGCCTTGCTGCGGGAGACAAAGAGCGCCTCGAGAGATGGTGCCTCGGCAAAGGGAGGTCCGGGTTTTGGACGTAGAGCCATGCGCTACCTGGCAGGCGCAAGTTGATGCGATTGGAGGAGCCAGCTGCCGGCTGCAGAGCTGTCACGCAGTGCTTTTGCCACAGTGCCATTTCCTTACGAGAAGCAACTTGCTGAGGTTCTGCGTAGTCCGCCCCTGCAGAAGCCTTCGCGGCCCTCTGCCTGCACCACTCGCAACCTTGATGAGGTCGACAAGGATCCATGCCTTGGCAGCTTTGGTATATGCATGTATATGCTACCCGGCTATATATACACATATTTTTGTGGGGGGCCGCTGGTACTGGTTATGTACGAATATAATCGTACTATAATTGGGAATATAGGCGGACCGTATACAGTACAGGGTGGGGGCTGTATCCAGTCTAGACCCTACACCCTGAACGCTGATGGTTAAGTGTTTGAGGCTCATTAGGCAACGGAAGGAGGGCTGGAGAGTTCGAGGGCTGGAAGGGTTGGAGGGCTGGAGGGTTGAAGTGGCTGGAGGGTTGGAAGGTTGGAGGCTTGGAGGGTTGGAAGATTGGAGGGTTGCAGGGTGGGAGGCCTGGAGGGTTGGAGGGCTGGAGGCCTCGCAGGTTGGAGGGTTGGAAGGTTGGAAGGTTGGAGGGTTGAAGGGTTGGAGGGTTGGAAGGTTGGTCCAGAGCCTACACCTCCTGAGCTTGGAGCAAGCTGCAGCGCCCAGCGCTTCAGCAACAGCTGGATCCAGCTCGACTCTTCCGTCTTAATCCGAAACTTCTGCAACCCAGCTCTGTGTGGAGATATTATGGGGAGGCACTCGCAGCCGCCCCTGACCCATAATTTGCCCAACCCCCTCCCCGAAAGACTACAGAGATAAATCTGAGCTCTCATGGGACTCCAGCCGGCAAGTCCCAGGACACTCGCAGGGGGGATTAGAGTATATGGTGATTCATCAGGGATTACAGAGGTATTCTCGAGGCGGAAAGTGAGGATCTACAAGGGCCATGGAGAGGTTACATCCGACGTTGCAAGAAGCAGTGCCTGCAACTCCCACGTCACAGAATTGAATCGGGTGCAAGATTCCCTCCTTGCTGACTGCCCAACATGGCTTCTGCGCCCGGCCTTCTGGAGGGTTGGAGGGTTGGAGGGCTGGAGGGGTCAGAGGCTTTGAGGATTGGAGGGTTGGAGGGTTGGAGGGTTTGAGGGTTCCGGGTGGTGTAAAAGATTTGTTCAACCTATTTAGAGGGGTGTTTGAAAATTGGCGCCGTATCAGCTGAGAAGGCCGTGTCCAGCAAGCACTGGGTAAGTTGGATTTAGTGATAGTTAATGATTCTGTAGCGATTGCCTCCTGCCAGGACATTTTGAGCGATGCGATGCCAAAAAAGCTAGATGACCCTGCGCCCGCATCTCTGAAATCCACGCAACAGAAGCAGAATTCGGAAAGACAAGTATCATCATGCCCTGCCAAGGCGCCGGCGCCGCAGCGAGCGAGGCCGCGCGGATGCAGGTGCTGAGCATTGTATGTTGCCCCATCGTTTTACAGCTCAGCTGGGCACAGCTTTCACCGCAAGCTCAGTGCACTGTGCATATTCTGGGCTCGGATCTGCTACGTATGATGCCATGTCCAGGTGCACCTCTTTCACGAAAAGGGTCCTCCCGGACCGCTGCGAGTTCGCAGGTGGGGCTTGGATGCACGGAGGCAGCAAAGGCTTTCAAAACTTTCCAGGTCTCTGGCACAGATCACTCCCAGACTTGGATGTGGGCCAGGACGGGAAGAGCCAGAAACTGTATGATGCACATGATCCTCCTGCCTTTTTGATTACGGAAAGCTTCTGGGCGTTGGACGGCTTGTAGCCTGCAAGCAGCAAAGCCTTGTACAAAGCCTTCAGCTTGGCTGACTTGAAGGATGTTTGTCATCCTAGCCGCAGGCCCAGGGTCGTGATGGTATCGTGCTTCAGCTCCACTTTAGCTTCAATCGCATGAGATGATTTGGTGTCTCCTAAGGTCCTACTGCAGCTGGTGCTTGCCGCCCTGGGCTTAAGACAGCATGTCTCGTCTGCTGTGGTGCAAATTTGCGATGTCTTGAATTCTCTTGCACGGCATGGGCAGCCTTCCACTTTCGAACAGGCCTTTGTTGGTCGGAGTTTGGGTTTGTTGGGCTCAAGGGTCCTGAGATTTTGTCAGGCATGAGGTTGATGTCGAAGAGTTCGAATCTTTTGTTGGCTTGCAGCTTCAGTTTACAGTCGTCCGCCTTTACTCTTTTCAGGTCTGGTCTGACTATGCCGTCCAGTCTGCGAAGTCTTAGCTCTGAGCCTTGCTGCGACTAGCAGAGCTTGTTGCATGATCCGCCCGTTTTGTTTTTCAGGTAGCATTTGTAGTGAAGTAACATGGAATGTGGAGCTCTTTTGACCAGCACGTCCAAAAGACTGCAACAGTTCTGATTGCCTTTCTGAGGCATGTAGTGGAAAGCAGACTCTCTGTGTTACACAGACAGTCGCTGCCAGGCCCAAGCATGAGGATGTTCAATGGGCGTACTGTTCGGGGGAAGTGTGGTTTCCACCAAGGAATTTCGAGCTTGGTAGCCGTAGACTTTTGAATCCTCACCTTAACGAAGCTCTGGCCTCAGTGGTTTGAGCTTGACTTGCCAACCGTGAAAAAGGCGTGCTGTGGCTGCCCTTGCATGCGTCGTTCGCCAAGTCGGCTCTCCACGAAAACCTCCCTCCAGGGCAGAGTGCAATCCCATCCTCTTTCCGGGTACATTCGTTCGAACTCTATATCCCATGTTGAAGGCATATGTGAGAGGCTTCATGTGGATCCATGTGCCCACTTTCATTGCCCATGACTTGTACTCTGCTTTTTTTGCAAGACCCCTTGCATCTTGGAGGCGAGTCCCCCAGTCCACAGCCTGACCTTGTTTCCATTTCAGGGCCTGCTAAGGTCCGGCTAAGCACTGTGCCGAGCACTGAGCTGGATGCCTTCGTAAGTCTTCCAGAGTACTTAAGTGCATTGGCCCCAACGTCATTGGACAGCAAGGAAGAATTGGCGACTATTCCCTGCACCGAAGAGTGTTTGCTGTGATCACTCAAAGCGCTTAGCAGGATCTGTTGGGAATACCAGCGGCACTGCATCACTGGCGGATGCCCAAGCCGGAGGGCTGTTGTTGGAGCATGTCAGGACGCTTTTTTGTGAATGCTTGGCGAATCTTGAGGTTTGAAGAGCTCTTACAGAAGATCCGTGGAGATCCAGACGATAGCTGCTTGAACCTGAGATATTGAGCTTTGAATGTAAGACGATCTTAGATGCAGTCTCGCACGTTGGAGGCATCGGCATCTGTATCTGAGGTTCCGAAATTCCATTCAGCTATGTGAAGCAGGCACCTGCTCTGACATCTCTCCCGAGGATGGATGTGTCTAGCACCATAGTTGTCTGCAACACGGAGGCGCATCTGGCGTACTTGCCAGATCGACCAATCAAGGTTGTCTGCTGCTCAGCAACCTTTTTTCTTGATTCAACGCTTAACTGGACAAGCGATGATGTATATCTCATTCGGTAAGTATACAGAATTTTTTGATTTGTCTTTCCCTTCAAAGTTACAACTGAAGCATTGCCGTAGCCCAAACCCTCAGCGCTGACTTGAATAAGAATATGCCGCTGGCATACACAGCGGGACCTAGCCAAGCCAAAAGCCGTTCGGGCCTCGCTAAATCAACTGTCTGGCCATGCTAACATTCCCGAAGTGATGCTTCATGGCTTTGAACAGCATCAGAAGCATTCATCATAATCACAAAAGAAT